GAAACACTCATGAAGGTCACGCAGATACATCGTATCCCACAGGCAAAACCAGAAATCTTTAAAGGAGAAGAAGGAGACAAGACTAGATACTTTCTATGGGAGAACTCCTTTGATGCCTTAGTGGACTGTGTTTCTATGTCATCACAACAAAAACTCCATTTGCTATACCAGCACATCGATGGAAAAGCTAAAAAGGTTGTTGAGCAACTACAATACATGGTCGACCGCCCTGAAACCGCTTATCAGTCTGCTAGGAAGATTCTGAAAGAACGATTCGGAAACACGGCTGTTATTGGAACTGAATTCGAAAGAAAACTGAAAGCATGGCCAAAGATTGGTTCGTACGACGCATCAGCACTAGAGGAGTTCGGTGACTTTCTTTACCAAGTTGAAATTGCAAGCGAGCACATTGAAAGTCTCAAGGTTTTCAACTACTCATCTCAAATGTTGCCACTCATAGACAAGCTACCTTCATGGTTCAAGTCAAAATGGTCTGAAAGGGTACTGAGATTACAGAAAGAGAAAGGAAGAGACTCGTATCCATCTTTCAAGGAATTTGTCACTGAGGTACGACATCACGCTCAACGAATGAACATACCTCAACTCTCGCACAATTCAGAAGTTACAAAGGACACTAGAAGAACATTTCTACCGCTAAGACCTCAAAGTCGCACACGAAGACCACCAGCTCAACATGCGTCTTTTGCAACATTTGCATCAAGCTCAGAACAAAGGCCTCAACCTTCACAGACACCACCCCAAAAGGGACCAGATCCAACTACGAGCAACCAACAACGAAAGTATTGTTTCTACCATAATCTGAGTAGTCATTCGACACACGAATGTGAACACTTAGCAAAGCTAAGCTTCGAAGAAAAGAAACAATTATTAAGATCAAGAAATGTGTGTTTCAACTGTCTGATGTCTGATAAGCACGTGGCAAGACAATGTAAACAACCAAAGTCTGAATGTAAAGTTTGCAATGGAAAGCACGCTACGATGCTCCATGATCCTTCAAGGCACGCAGAGAAGAACGAAACATCTACCACTTCATTCTGTTCCCAAGTTTGCGGTGAGAACCATCCAATCAAATCGTGCGCAAGGATAGTTCTTCTTCAAGTTTTCCATCAAGATCATCCTGAACAACGAGTTCCGACATATGCATTACTAGATGACCAATCTACTGACGTTTTTGTTACAAACACTCTGTTGGACCAGCTAAAGGTCGAACCAAAGAACGTTACTATTAAAATCGACACCATTGTCGGCACGAATAGCGTTAGATCAAAGAAAGTTAACGGTCTGAGGATACAAGACGTCGATGGTCTACAAAAGCCAATCAGGATTCAACTCGCTTACTCCCGCAACCGTATTCCAGCCGATAAATGTAACATCGCAACACCCAATGTTGCAAAACATTGGAAACACTTGAACTGTATCTCTAATCAACTGAGATATTCTTCTGACGTAGAGATCGGAATGCTAATAGGAAGGAACATCCCAACTGCCTTTCAGCCCTTGGAAATTATCTATGGCAATGAAAACGAGCCATGGGCTGAAAGATACAAATTTGGCTGGACGATCATTGGTCCAGTCTGTCGAGACAACAACGAAGAAGACAAAGTGACGGTCAACAGTATCAATGTAATGACAGCAACAGACACCAACACCGATACTACAGACGCTGAAGGATTTCCAGTCACACCACGAGGTCGAAGCAAGGATGTAACCAGTCCACAGCAGATTCAAGATATGATGCAACTAGACTACAGCGAACTACACTACAGCCGCTCCACAAAGGACTCCGAGTTTACAGAATCTATAGAAGATCGACGKTTCAACCGCCTACTCGAAGAAGGTATTYATGTCAACCAAAAGGGAAACTGGGAAATGCCTCTACCATTCAAGACCGATGACGTCACTATGCCGAACAACAGAGCTCAGTGTATCAAACGCCTCTTATCGCTCAAGTCAAAGCTTCTCAGAAAAGATCAAGTACGCAAAGACTAYTTTGAATTCATTCAGAAGATCCTAGACAAATGTCATGCAAGTCGTGTGCCAACAGAAGAACTAAAGACCCCTCCTGGTAAAGTTTGGTACCTTCCACATTTCSAAGTCTATCACCMAAAGAAGCCACAGCAAATAAGAGTCGTCTTTGATTGTAGCGCCATCTTCGAGAGCAACTCTTTGAATCAAAATCTTCTCCAGGGACCTGATCAACTCAACAACCTCATTGGTGTTCTAACTCGCTTCAGGAAAGAACAGACGGCTGTGATCTGCGATATAGAACAAATGYTCCACAGCTTTTACGTTAATACGGAACACAGAGACTATCTTCGATTCTTATGGTATGAAGACAACAATCTAGATGGCCCAATTGTGGAGTACAGGATGAATGTGCACCTATTCGGTGCCACCTCATCACCGGGAGTAGCTARCTTTGGTCTCAGAAAGACGGCTCAAGTCAACGCTGATGAGTACGGCGATCAAGCTACAAMCTTTCTACAAAAGGAGTTCTACGTTGATGACGGTCTTAAGTCCTTCCCCACTTCAGAAGAAGCGATCAAAACTATCAAAGATGCTCAAGCAATATGTGCATCAAGAAATCTCCGCTTGCACAAGTTTGCCAGTAATGACAAGACTGTCCTAGAGAATTAACCTGCAGAAGACCGAGCGAAAGACCTGAAGGAACTTGACTTAAGATACGACACTTTACCCATACAAAGGTCCCTTGGTACGTACTGGTCAATCGAAGCAGACACGCTCGGCTTCAGAATCACAATGAAAGACACCCCCTGTACTCGTCGAGGTATATTATCTACAGTAAGCTCAATATATGACCCCCTCGGCGTGGTAGCTCCTGTCATACTCCGAGGAAAACAGATTCTGCAAGATCTGTGTCGTGACAACTTTGAGTGGGATCAACCCGTACCAGACGACATCTACTCTCGATGGGAAAGATGGAGATCAGACCTACCCCTTCTAGAGAAAGTAGAAATCAACAGATGTATCAAGCCCGCTGGCTTCGGTGAACCAACTTCAGTCCAGATACATAACTTTTCAGATGCCAGTGAAGTAGGATTGGGTGAAGTATCCTATCTACGCCTTGAGAACGCGAAAGGCGAGCTCAGTGTTGCCTTCCTCATGGGTAAAGCAAGAGTAGCACCAATAAAGCCCATCTCCATACCACGCAAAGAACTCACTGCAGCAGTCATATCTGTTAATGTCAGCTCAATGCTCTCAAAGGAACTTGATTACAAAGACATCGAAGAAGTCTTCTACACAGATTCAGCTGCCGTCTTAGGATACATAAATAACGACGCCAAACGCTTCCATACTTATGTTGGTAATCGCGTACAACACATTCGTGACCGATCAAGACCTGACCAATGGCACCACGTGCCCGGTAAAGAAAACCCCGCCGACGAGGCTTCTCGCGGTTTATACGCCAAACAACTGACTCAGGATGCAAGATGGCTACGAGGTCCAGACTTCTTGTGGCAACATGAAGCCCCACAAGAGATTGAAGTGAAGGATATCGACCCTGACGACCCGGAAGTCAAAAGAATGAAAGTATTCGCTACGACTTCTAAAGAAAACTACATTCAAGAAAACAAGCCTTTAGAATCTGATAGATTCAAGAACTTCTCTTCTTTCTACCGCCTGAAGAAGAGTATTGCCCTCATCCAACGCATGATTGAAAGGAGAAGAAATAACAAAGAACATAATTGGAGGCCACAACAAGGTTTCCTCACTGTTAAAGAACTGAACATAGCTGAAGAAACTATCATTAAGTCTGTGCAAGCAGACTGCTATACAGACGAAATCAAGACTTTAAAGAAGTTAGATGGTAACGAAGACATGTTCAGCGAGCGTCACTTGGCACGCGAAAGAAATCTTAGCATTAAACAACA